CGATCAACAAAGTCCGACTGTGCTTGAAACGTCAAGGCGCCGTTTTCGTCTCGCAAAATGACGGCACAAAAAGACGAAAAAGTTTCTATTTCTGAAAGAAGAGAGAGAATCAAAGAGATATACGTGGATGTATGTTTATCCTCTTTTGCATGTAAACATATACGTGGATGTAGGTTTATCCTCTAGCATCTTTGGTGCATATGTTTGACCTTACTCCTCTTGTGGTGCATTCGATTCTCATCTGGTGATACTTTTCTGTTTTCGTGAGTATTTTTGAGTGCATTACTAGATCGTCCTTCTAGAAAGTCTAGCTGACTAAATCTTACATCTCGTATCAGTCAAAGCCCAAAATTAAGGCAACGCTGATATATCGCCGTCTTGGCAGGACGTTTCCCAGCTGGATGGACACAGTCAGGTTGTGATCGTGTGAAGCGGAGATTCCCGTCTTGCCGTAATGAGCTCGAAGGATGGTACACTTCGTTGGCGATCGGGGCAAAGCGTTTCTCACGTGGCTCGACAGCTTTTCTACTGACCGCTTGTCACGAAAGAGTTGGCTGTTTAGCTATGGTGTACTTGGTTGGGAGTTCTTGTGGTCTCCGTTCCATGGGGCTGGTAACGCAATGCCAATGCTCAATGCCATGTGGCTCTAGCACCACTCAATCATTTGCCTCGCGTTGATAGTCTCTGCGTACACCATACGTCGTTAAAGCTACTGTAGAAAGCAAAGGACTTGGATCAGATTGTGCAGGCTCGAGTGGCACTTTTGCCCGCGTTAGGTAGCAGTTTCACGGATCGAGCGTAGAAACGACCGCGCGGAAGGCACGAGACGGGCTCTGCACCGAACCTTGTAGCAGACAGACCTACATTCCCATCTCAAGGTACCTAATGCTACAGCAGCAAATGAGGTGTGGCATCTGTGGCTTACCAGCATGCTTTTCGCAGGGGCCAAAGGCTCTTGTTGCTGTTATATGAACGACGCTGCCGACGACGGCATCGGGTGTTGTTGGCTATGGCACAGCAACGACGGTCTCTCGTCGTTTGAGCGTGCCGCGCTAGTCGCGAAGAAATCAGAAATCAGCGTTACACGATGCAATATGGGTCCTTCCTTAATGAACGGGACCCGAGACAAATGTACGAAAGACTCGAGGTCGAGGTGGCGCGCGCCATTCGGAACATGGTCGGGAGATACACCTAGGCAACCGTATTGTTGATTGTGCATCGACCAGGAAAAAGTCATTATCAAAAACGCGAGACGCGAGTATGACTGGTTGCTGCTGCTACCAGCGTCTTGCTGTCGAGTCAATCTCGATTCGTCGCTCGATCCCATTCCACAACTCGCCTCGCTCCCCCCCCGCAGACCATCGACTTCCACATCCCCTCACTCCCTCGACAACTTCGACGGAGATGCGTCTCACTAGTCTTTACGTGGCCATTGTCGTGGCTTCGCTTCACGCGATCGGCTCTACAGCCTCAACGGCTGCGAACGTCGGCGCGACCATATCCAAGAACAAGTCGCCTCCTGCAACGACTTCTTCGCTTCGTACGAGGGAAAAACGGAGCCTTCGTGCTAGCGAGAAGAGCGGTCGGGACGATCTGGGAGAGGAGAGGGCCACTTGGACCGCCATCGCAGCCTTCGTTAGGAAAATTGCTAGGGTCTTTTCCAGCAACGCTCACGCGCAAGGGGGATTGCAAAACGTCGGGAAGGCGGGCAACGCTCTCTCCTTAGGACATGAAGTCTCGCTGTTCAAACGAGGCTTCGGCAAAACTTCCCCGTACCAATCGGGCTTTGTTGGGATGCCTCCTCAGAAGTTCATCCGACGCTGAAAGGACACAGTCACACATGTAAATGCGTTTGAAATGAACACGTGCCTTGAGCTACTGCTATCCGTGTGTAATTCATTGCAACACACGTACAAGCAATCACCTTTGCATTCTCTGACCTTGGTGTATGGTTGATAGCAAGCCCCAACCAGACGTCCCACCTGCTCGATTCTCCCTCCTACTGCAACCAACTTGGTAAGTCTAGCCAACAAATACTTCCGACTCGTTGCAGACGCACGTGAAGGACGTGACGAACGGAAAGCTGTCGAGGCTGTCTCGGTTCGGACTCGTCACGAAGCAAAACGTGTAAAGCTGAGATGATGTGAGCGCATCTTGGATAGGAGGATGCCCAGCATATCGACACATGGACCCAAACGTAGTAGTAGTCTCGGACGTTCACCTGAGCGCAAACGACGGGGTCGTGCATTTTCAATCGACTGCTTCCTTCGTTGGTGAGGCCAAACGCAGCAACGATCGCTATGGTCGCGACATCGATCAGTGCGTGCACGATGAGAGTGGCGCTTCGGTGCTTGAAAGCTTCAGTGGTCGCTAGTGGGTCGCAGTTCGATAGCGTCACGGCGCCGCACTAGAAGAGCATTGACACTTGAGGTATCTCGCACGAGCGCAATGGTGATACATTTGTTCCGATCTGCCGCGGACAGAAGTGTGAAGGGGGTGCGAACAAATGACAACAGCTACTACACAGCAATGGCAAGAATTGGATCACGGACGAGTAGATGATGGATAGGTCTGTAGCTTTCGACACACGTCGTGCGATATCTGGACGAACGGGTATGTGCTTCGCTCGAGGTGATGACCACGAGCGACATGGATGGCAGATCGACCGTTTGACGGGTCTGCGAGACCTCGTGCTGCGTGTTCGACGATCGGAAAGCGGAACAACCGTTTTCTGCTGGTCTCGTGGTGAACATCCGCACAAAGGAAGACGCAAAGATGCACAGGAAGAGCGAGGGAACCCGACAAACGACTGTAGCAATAAGGACATTGCTATAGTCGCTCCTGCTTTCGCTCGCCGACAACTTCTGCACGCAGTGGATGCGATTGTCCGACAAAAGGCCTCTGTAGCTTACGGTCGTGTTTTCTGTAGCACAAGTCGGTCGGTCCGTTGGTCGGTCCGCTGGTCGGTCCGCTGGTCTAATTTTATTCACGAGCGCAGGTGGTCGGTCGCGTCTGCCGGTGGATAGCGCCCGCCAGCTGCACAGCTTCTTCAGACCCACTTAAGTAGCTTCTCGTCTAGGCAACGACCTTGGGCCACGTCAACTTCTTCGAGCTCGCAACGCCCACCACCTCCACACCATACACGCGCCAGCTCGAGACAGACACTCGAATCCACACACCTGTCTATCGCTACCTCCCGCTCGCAATGCCGACGACGACGACAGCGGACCAACCCGTCGATCCGCTGTTGTTCTCGAAGCGCATTCTCGTGACGGGTGGCGCGGGTTTCATTGGGTCGCACGTCGTGATTCACCTCGTGCAGCGGTATCCACAGTACTACATTGTCAACTTCGACGCGCTGGACTATTGCTCTTGTGTGCAAAACGTGCACTCGGCCATTGCATGTACCGGCGGTGGGCCAGCAGCTTCGAGCAAAGCACATTGTCGAGCCGATTCGGACAACAGTATTGTCAAACGTGACAACGACAACGGCTGCTGCTGTGAAAACAGTTGCAGTGCTGTTCGTGAACACGACAGCAGTAACAGCGACAGTGACGACCCCGACGTTTATCTGCCGGACATGTGCTGCGCAACGTTACCGACAAACTACAAATTCGTTCATGGCAACATCACCGACGCCGATCTTGTCAATGACGTCGTACGGGTTGAGGCCATTGACACGATCTTGCACTTTGCAGCGCAGTCTCACGTTGACAACTCGTTCTGTGGGAACTCGCTCGAGTTTAGCACGACCAATGTCGGCGGCACTCATGTCTTGTTGGAAGCTGCGCGGCGACATGGAGTTCAGAAATTCATCCACGTGAGCACGGATGAGGTCTATGGTGACGGCCGAAACGAGTCGGCGCCAATGACAGAAGACCATGGGCTGGAGCCGACGAACCCGTACGCAGCGACGAAAGCCGGTGCCGAGTTCCTCGCAACGAGTTTCTATCGCTCGTTTCGACTTCCGGTGATCATCACGCGGAGTAATAACGCGTACGGCCCGCATCAGTATCCCGAGAAACTCATTCCAAAGTTTGTAAACCAGATCTTGCGGAACCGACCAGTGACGATCCATGGTGACGGCAGGCACACGCGCAACTACTTGTACATTTCGGATGTCGTTGCAGCATTCGACTTGATTCTGCATGAAGGAGCCGTGGGTGAAGTCTATAATATCGGCGGCACGAACGAACTGTCCAGCAAGGAAGTCGCGATGGACTTGTTGGCGCTGATGAAACCAGAACTACAGGAACTCGAGGTGGCCAAACTAGTCACACACGTCCAAGACCGACCATGCAACGACCACCGGTACATTATTGACGCCACCAAAATCCGTGCGCTAGGCTGGAAAGAAAAGACGCCTTGGCGAGAAGGTCTGCGCGAGACGGTCGAGTGGTTTACACGCTATCGACATCGCTTCAACAACATTGACCAGGCGCTCGAAGCCCACCCGATCAACTTCACAAAGACGTGCTAGCTCAGCCTCGATTAGACCACACATGGACACAAATATGTCCTCATCATCGGCCGGGCATGTTTCTGTGCTCGAGATGCGCGTTATGCGATTGAATCGAAGTCTTTGTTCGAGGCTGACGATGACTTGATGCCGAGAGTGTATTGCTCGGTAATGAACCACTTCAGATACAAGACCGCCACCTAAAACTTCTGTACGAAGACCGTCCAAGTGGCACCCATACAACAGTAGCAGTTGTAGCATGTTTTCGCTCGACAAAGGAATGCATCCTTTCCAGACGCATCCATTATGGTCGACGCGTGGCTGTGGATACTTCCTGCTGTCACGCGTCAGTTCCTTTCGTTCGTGTTCGATATGATAAATAAAGAGCCGTCCCGACCAGCAACGTCGTTCGCCGCCTAGTAGTGCCTCGACTGTTGTCGGAACTATGTGGATCCCTTGGCAGGTCTGTTCTCCCGTTATGCGCCACGTTTGGTTCTTGTCGCTGTGCTCCGCCGACATGGCTTCCACAAAGCACAGATGGTCAGCTGTAACAGCCGATTCGTCTCCCCAAAATATCTCGTGGTGACTCATAATCTCCGTGCGTTTGCATCGGAAAGTGTACACGCTCATGTGCAGGGTGCACATGGATGTGAGGCAAATACGCTTCATAGGGACGGTGATGACTTCCGTGCGTCAAATAGGGGGTCGTAGGCAGCAATTCTGGCGTGCTGCCCGTTGACCACGAGCCTTGTGATAGGTTGGCATATGTCGACGAATGGTCGCTCGAGTCCACTGTTCGCGGCGAGAACGACGTCATGAGCGTCGCGTCCCACTTGTTCTGACCCAAGTGGTATCGCTGATGGTGCGCGCACCACACGCAGTCCGACGAAGAGCATTCCACAAACTCCACCAGTGACCGTGACGGTACCACCAGCGTTCGCCTGGGTTCACGCTGCTCCACCCGCCGCATGATATACAGAAACACCACGCTCAGGACTATACCGGGGACCAGATACTTGCAGATGCAAAAGGCCTCAAAGCTTAGTGACGACCACGAGTCTTCGACGCCCGAGATAATTATCGGTGCGTCCATGATCACCTGTAACAGCAGTGACGCTGTCAACAGCGTCATAAGCAGCGTCATCTGCAGCACAGACTTTTTCTTCATATCGTCTGCCATGGCCGCCGCAAGCAGTCGCTCGCGTAGTCGCATCGCCACGTAGCACGCGACAACGGCATCAAATGTCAACGTGGCTGTATTCACGACCCGGTAGGCCAGCAACAGCGACGCTGCGTCTCTCGCGTAGCCTGCCACACTGTTGAACGTGTCCAATCCATGCGTCAGCACGTCGATCGCAATGACTGCGGTCCAGATCAAGAGCATCGCGTGCAGCAGCACGAGCGGGTGCAAGACCGTGATCCGCTTGGACCGGTGCAGCTCTTGGAGCGTCACTTGTCCCGCCATGACGGCGCTGGACCATTGGAAGATCACAGCGGCCGTGCAGAGCAGGACCATGGAATTGGACCACCACAAACACGCGACGCCAAAGCTCAGGACGCGGGGCGTACACATGGACAGCCAGAACACGAGTCGCATGGCACACGTCAGTAATAGTACCTGTGTGTGTGTCACCGGTTTAGCAGGAGGTTAGCCCGTGACAGTGTATACCCTCTCAAAAGTGATACCCGCGACACCGTACCACATGCAGCGCCACGCGACGCGGGTGCGAGCGCCAGTAGAGCTGATGGAGCGTGCGCCAGAGCACGAGGCCGAGGAGCGCGGCCTCGATCAGCACGGGCAGCACGACGGCAGAGCTGCTGCACGTGAGCGTCCACGTCGAGGCGAGCCACACCATAGGAGATGTCCCGCAAGTGCCCTCTGCGCAAAGGAGCGCGAGCCAGCGAGGGACGCGCCGATGGCGAGGGGTAGGGAAATAAAAACAAGGAGGGTTCGACGTTTGTCCTGTCTCTTGGGCCCGTCGCAGCGTGCGGTCGCGCGGCAGCGGATTGACTGGACGTTTGTATGGAGCAGTGAGGGGGGGGGGGGGGGAAGGGGGAGGAGGAGGGCCCAAGCAACTCGCTGGGGCGAAAGAGTTGAGCGAGTAACGACTGACGTTGGAACAAGGGATAGATTACTTACCAGGACGGACGGACGGACAATTTGTGCGCGTCTGGTGCGGACGTTTGACTACCGCATTTTTTCAGACGGTTTTCTTTGTTATCGTTCGCGCGCACTCTGGAGAACTGAGAGATATGGCGTTTCTAAAGGCGCACCGCCAGCTGCTGCGCTGCTGGGCGACGGGGATGCGCAGGTGCTGGACGTGCAAGCGAAGTGCCTTTCGGTCTGGTTTCTGTCTGCATGTCTGCATGTCTGAATTTCTCTCTCTCTCTCTCTCTCTCTCTCTCTCTCTCTCTCTCTCTCTCTCGCTGTCTTTCTCTCTGCTTGTCTGGCGATGGCCGGCAGCAATATGGCTACTTCATTCTCTCGGGGACAACTTCTGCGTAGCCGCTGTAAGAAGAAAACCCTCTTGCTACAGCTGTCGCTTCGGGGTGTCATGTCCACGTGGACAGCCGTGTTTACCAAACAAACGGCTGAGTCACTACAGGAGACCCACACGGACGAAGATGGACGACGATATCTGACGATAGTGACGAAGAAGACCGACGGTGACGAAGAAGGTCGTCGATGATGACGAAGAGAGACGACACTGACGACAATGACGATGATGATTGTCGTGCACTGAGTCAGTCCGTCGGCTGACCAGCGGTCAAGCTGGTGACTGCGATCATGTCGGGCGTAGCCCTTCCTCCGGTCGATGTACACACCGTCCAATGAGTGTGCAACTACTCCCGTCCCGTGACACGTTGGGTTCATCCGACTTGCGACACCTGGCCGAGCCTAAGTACGCACCCCGCAACTCAGGAACGACAGCACCGACATGCAAAGTACGGTTCCAGCTCCGTTTTTCACCCTCTGTGGTCGCATGTACCTACGTTCCGGCATCAACCTCTCCAATAGCAACTCACCCGACCTCCCACTTCAACCGACCACGCGACAATGCACTGCACGTCGCTTGCTCTCGCGCTCCTCGCGCTCGTGCTACCGCCGCCGCTGCACGCTCGCGACCGCGTCCTGCTCGTGCATCTGCACCCCCAGCTCACTCCTCGATCCTTCGCTCAGTCGCCATTGCTCTCGCGCTCTCGTCAGCGCCACAATGTGCACCAGACGTCCTCCCACCTCGTCCACGACGTGCAGCTTTGTGTTGGCCGCTTCCTGCGCGCCCAGAGCGCGACGGACGTTCACGTGCTATCTCTATGGATACAGAACACGCTCATTGTGCGCTACAATGAGGACAATCGAGCGCTCGGTCGGCTCTTGACGCGAGATCTTTGGACGTTTCCAGGAGTCGTAGAGGTGGAGGAAGACGCGCGTGTTTTGACGCTCTTGGAGGCACAGCAGGAGGAGGAGGAGCAGGAGGTGTACGATGATACGAAGGATAATGTTCAGGTGCAGACGAACGTGCGGCTACTGCACGCTCCCGAGCTCTGGGCTCAAGGAGGAAGAGGGAACGGCATTGTCGTGGCAAGTATTGACTCGGGCGTGCGCTACACCCACGACGCTCTGAGAGATAGTTTTCGAGGTGCGCAGTATGTTCATGAAGCAAGAGAGAAAACACGAGCTGTGGACAATACGGAGCTTACCATGTGCTGTGCTACGGTGATGCTGTGCTGTTGCAATACATGTCCTTGCTCTTTGTGCAATGGTAGGAACGCAAGCGGACGGGAAAGTCGAGTTGGACTACTCGTTCTGGTTTACGCCAGGCACGGACGTGGCAAAGGAGACGCCTGATACGGCGGATGAGGTGGGTCATGGAACGCACACTATGGGAACAGCGGTTGGAGGAAAAGGGGTTGGAGTCGCTCCTGGAGCGACGTGGATCACTGCACGGGCGTTTGATATCTGGGGCGCAGCGAACAAGAGCGACTTTTTGCTAGCTGCGCAGTGGGTTGTGTGTCCAACTCGGACGGATGGAACGGGCACAAACTGTTCGCTTGGAGCTGATGTGGTAACGAACTCGTTTGGCGTTGATCGATCCACGCCTTTGTACCCACAGTGGACGTGGCTGAGTAAAGTGATTGACGCATGGCGAGCGGCCGGAGTTTACCCGGTCTTTGCCAGTGGGAACACCAATGGGTTCCTGTGCGGAAGCGTGTATTATCCCGGCAGCCATGAAGACACGATCGCAGTTGGAGCGTTGATTGGAGGAAGTTCACTCTGGGGCGCAAGTGGAAAGGGCCCAAGCCTGGACGGCAAACAAGGTTTTGACGATATAGTGCCCCGCACGAGCAGCGACTACGTCATCAAGCCCGACTTTGTCGCTCCTGGGGTAGGCATTCGGTCGGCTATGAGTGTCGGGGATAACGCCTATACTCGACTCACCGGGACGTCAATGTCAACACCACACGTAGCTGGTGCCCTCGCACTGTTGCTTGGTCTCAATCATACGAAGCCGATAGCCTACGAGAAAATCTTGCAGAGTTTGACGCAGACGACCACGCGCACACTACACAAGCCGTTTCTCGTGCCTAGTGAATGTGGCAACACGACGTACCACGAATACCCCAACAACATCTACGGATGGGGACTGGCGAATGTGTGCTTAGCGGCAAACACTCTCGGGTTCCCATGTGGCGACTCGATTGTCGTCGAGAAAAGCTCGACTGGAGAGAAGCAGCTCGTCGCATATGCTGATGTTGTGGCGATCGAGTAACGCAGGACTTTCTTCACCATTCGGTCTGCTAGTACGAACCGAGTTCCAGCGAGCATTGACTGCGTAACGTGTAAGGACATCGTCGTGCGTGCAAACCTGAACAAGCGTCAGTCAGAGTCGGTCCTCGTACACGATCAGTTGACGTCGTGCTTTGTTTGTTGTGTTCGAGGAGCCTCTGTAAGGCCGCTGCGTCGTTATGCAGGCAGAGTGGACATGAGATGGACGATCGCAAGCAGTTGCACCGAAGAGCTTGTCGTGTCAGTGCATCACGGTGTTTATGGTCTCGACACCAGGTAAGCTGCACATCATTTCTGAATGGTTCATACGCATGGACTCAGCTTCAGCGTCACGGACGAACAATGCACGCGTTCTTCACCATAGCATGTACACGACCACTGGGTTTACACAACTACATCATCAGCATTTCGGATCCGTCGAGTGCAGTAGTGCAACTTGTCTCATCTGGTTGACTAGCGTCGAGGATCATACGTATCTGCAAGCACTGATGTCAAATGAAGATGTTCGGCTCGGTACGATGCAGAGCGTCAGCGGGGGAATGTCTTGAATCGCAGCATCTTCGGTTGGGTGGAAACGTCGTGCACGAGGGCTGAGTACCCATCAAATGGAGATAGGAAGGTGAGGTCTTACACGTGCTGAACCTGCTATCAGTAGCTGTGGTGTATCCTCGACGCCAGGCGGAGTTGAGGGTGTGCCGACTGACACTCTGACGACAAAAAACGGATACTCCGACATCTTACAACGAGAGCTTGTGCTTCTCAGTTGCTCTATGACGAATCAAGGACATGACTGCCATGCAAGATATGCGGAGCCCGACTGAACGTTGACGCACGAAGTTCATTCCCGAAGCGCTTACTGTCTGAGGTCAATCCAACGCACGACCTCGTGTGCAGTCTGCAGTTGTAGTTGTACGTTGACTCGGTACGCTACAATTCGCCGTGCAGCTCGTTGCATAAGGCTGTGTTCACTGTGTAGAAACAAACTCACCTGCTTGTCCCCACCATTCGATACGCAGATGTACCAGCGCGAATACGTATGCCGGTATCCCATCTGCCTTGTGCGCCGGTGCAGACACGTTGCCATTCGAAAGCGCTGTATGTCAGGGATACATGCCCTGCTGTACATCTCACTCGAACAGATCCGCTGCAATCAGGACAACCCAAGTCTCGACCGACATTGCTGACCTCGTTGACCACTTGCTCGCTAGAAAAACATATTCACAGCGTCACGCACACTCGCCTCGCTGGCTTCGTTTGCCAACGTCACCGTCAGCTGTCGACCACAGGCAAAGGACAAGCAGTACGCGTTAGCATCTCCACGACGACAACCAGCTCCGCACCACACGACCGTCACCACGACCACCACCACCTTCATCACGAAGCAAACGTACCAGCGGATCGGCCTTCATCTCACGCTCAATCGCAAAGCGAGCGTTGGCATTGCGTGCCCAAGCACGACGAGCCACGCCATTGTTCACGTCCCAGCCGAGCATGCACGCGGCTTTTTCCCGTGCATCGTCGGAGCCATCCAGTACCATCCCAAAGCCGCCGTTCATGACCTCGCCCCAGCCAACCCCTCCGCCGTTGTGCAGTGCGACCCACGTAGCGCCCCGCGCAGCGTCGCCCAGTGCGTTTTGCACGGCCATGTCCGCACAAAAGGCCGAGCCGTCCGTCACGTTCGATGTCTCACGGAACGGACTGTCCGTGCCGCTCACGTCGTGGTGGTCACGACTGAGCACGACCGGAGCCGAGATCGCACCGGTGCTTACAGCCGTGTTGAAAGCCATGGCGAGGGAGCCACGACCGACGCGGTCGGCATACAGGATACGGGCTTCGGAACCCACGACGAGATCGTTTGCCTCGGCAGCTTCAATCCATCGGAGATTGTCGCGTAGCTGGGCACGGACTCGATCGGGTACCTCGGGCTCTGCGAGCAGCTCACGCATCACGCGCGTCGCAATGTCGTCGGTCTGCTGGAGGTCTTTGCGCTTGCCGGACGTGCAGACCCAGCGGAACGGACCGAACCCCAGGGAAAAAATGTCGCCCATGATGTCCTGCACGTAGCTCGGGTACTTGAAAGCAGTGGTGGACACGGCCGCCTCTTCGGGCTGCACACCAGGACGCAAGACGTCGGCCCCGGCACGCAGGGCTTCCAGCAAGAACGAGTTGCCATAGTCCCAGAAGTGCAGGCCCTTGGCCGCTAACCGGTTGATCGCCACTGCGTGGCGTCGAAGCGATGCCTGCACGAGCTCCTGGAATCGGACTGGGTCTTCGGCCATGACACGCTGCGCCTCTTCGAAGGGAAGTTCGACGGGGTAGTAGCCGCCGTTGAACGGATTGTGGAGCGACGTCTGGTCCGAGCCGAGCTCGACCAAGAGCTCTCCCGTGGCGTCGACTTCGTCGGCCAAGCGCTCCCACAGCGTGACTACGTTGCCATGGAAAGCGAGACTCACGACCTCCTGCGTGGACTTTGCCTCTCGGATGCGGGCAATGCACGCGTCCAAGTCGCTCAGCACTTCGTCCACCCATCCTTGTTCAAGGCGTTTGGCCACTGCAGCGTGGTCGACCTCGGCCGTGACCGAGATCAAACCTGCAATCACACCAGCTTTGGGCTGAGCGCCGCTCATGCCACCGAGACCGGACGAGACGTAGACAGTGCCACGCGTGTGTTCCCGGTGCAAGTACTTGCGGCAAGCGTTGAGCATCGTGATGGTCGTGCCGTGGACGATGCCCTGTGGCCCAATGTAGCAGTAGCTCCCTGCTGTCATTTGGCCGAATTGCGTCGTCCCCATTGCGTACGCCTTGTCGTACTGAAGGCGAGTGGAGTAGCGGGGAACCATTAACCCGTTCGTGACGATCATGCGCGGGGCAGCGAGACGACTTGGAAAGAGACCCATGGGATGGCCCGAGTACATGACGAGCGTCTGCTGCTCGGTGAGCACCGAGAGGTACTTCATGGTCAGGAGGTACTGCGCCCAGTTTTGAAAGACACTGCCATTGCCGCCGTAGGTGATGAGGTGATGAGGGAATTGGGCCACGCGGCGGTCGAGATTGTTCATGATCATGAGCATGATACTGGCTGCTTGGGTGCACTGGGCTGGGTACTGCTCGATCGGGTACGCCTGCATCTCGTACTGCACGGGTTGAAAGCGGTGCATGTAAATGTGTCCCTCGTCCTTCAGCTCCTGAGCAAACTCGACGGCCAAGACAGTGTGGTGCTGCGCGGGAAAGTAGCGGAGTGCGTTCTGGACAGCGAGTACGAGCTCGTCGTTGGACAGGCCGTTGATGTTGCGGTGCGGAGCTTTCGGCACTGACGGGTCCAAGTGTTTGTTCGGATGGATTGGCAGTTCGATGGGAATGCCATTGCAAAGGACCGTCAAGTCTACGGATATCGACGAAGCCATGACGACTGCAAGTTGATTGAGTGAAGAGAGGACGGGTGCAAGATGGATTGTGGGCCGGCGAGTGACGCGGGCGTGGCGCTTGCGAGGTGGGTGGGATATCTCACGAGAACGACTTGCATGTTGAAGGTAGGTTGGTTGTCGACGGATCTAGCTGCCTGCTATCGAATCAGGCCATGTCTAATCCATTGCTTATTTCAGTGACGACGACGAGCTGGGAGCAATTCGATTCGGTGGGGGCATGTTCATGTACTGAGATAAGGCTGATCATGGACGCAAAACGAGCAAGACCTAGAAACCGGGCGGGGCTCAAGGGAACCAAAAGAGAGAGAAGCACAGTAGCATTCATTCATTGCACGCCAAACGACACTCGACACTCGACTGTCAGTGCGAAGAGGCTACTTGTGCATGTGGGACACTATTCCGAGGGAGCAGGTTGACCCTACCGGTACCTCTCCCACCTCACGACATACCGATCAGCCGAAGACGACGCAAAACTGCTCGATAGCATCATCTTCACCCACCGCCTGTCCGTTGACGCAGAAAAAGCACTTTCTTTGGCGGACCATGGGCCGTCTCTGTACAACGGTATCACTCGACCCGAGACACAGAACACGAGCGCGCGAACATCCGCTCCGTCATCGACTCTCGTTGTTTGATACACAGATACACATATACCCACATCCGGACAATAGACTGCCATGACAGAGATGACCGACGACGAGCAGCTACCGCTCTTGACGACGACGCGGACGGCCAACAGTGACACAATGGACGACGCATCACTACCGATCGATCCATCGACACCATCCACGAGCGACCACAACGTGAGCGCCAAGATCGTGTTTCTGTCCGTGAATGACGTGTACGATATGGTCCCGAACGCGCACGGCCACGGAGGCATTGCAGAGTTTGCAACGCTATTGGAACAGCAAAAGGCGTTGCTACCGAACGACGTGACGCTCCTTGTGACGCTCAATGGCGACTTTCTCTCGGGGTCAGAGATGGCCGAGCGGTTCAAAGGGTGCGTGGACAGCAGCAGCTAACTGTTGCTAGAGGCAGGTGGACGACTTGGGCAATACCAAACGTCACCACTGATGTCGGTATACTTCAGGCAATCCATCGGTGGTGTTACTTACAACGCTTTTGGGCTGTTGATGCTTTTTATTTGCTTTTTATTTGTTGATTTATCTGTTGTCACTGTTTGTTTATCTGTTGGTTATTGTTTACTGTTTGTTTACTTGTGATCATTTGTTGTTCGGGTCGTGGTAGAGCGCACATGATCGAGTTGATGAACCACTTGGGGATTGGGTACGTCGTGCTGGGCAACCACGAGTTTGACTTTGGCGCTGAGGAACTCCAAGCGCGCATGCGGGACTCGACGGCCAAATGGTTTGGCTCGAATGTGGTGGATGCGGCATCAGGTGCGCTGTTCGAGAACGTCGTGGACACGGAAGTGGTCGAGCTGAAAGACGGCCTGAAGCTCGGCGTCTTTGGCGTGTGCACCGAGGAGACGCCGACGCTGTCGTTTCCAGGGAACACCATCAAGTTTGACGACGTGTTTGCCACTGCTCGACGGTGTGTGGACGCCCTGAGAGCTCAAGGAGCCGATTTCATCCTTGCGCTGACGCACTTGCCAATTGCTCAGGACAAGAAACTTGCGCGCCAAGTACCTGGTATCAACTTGATACTCGGCGGACACGACCACGAACCGGTCACGATGTACGAAGGCAAGACGCTCATCCACAAGTCGGGACAGAATGCGTTCTGGCTGGCCAAGCTCGAAGTTGAATTGAAGCGGTCTACCCGACACCCGGAACGAGGACTTGTCGTCTTGCCGCAATGGAGCATGACTGCAAACGCGTATTTGCCGCCGCAACCAGCGTGCCAGCAAATTCTGTACAAGTACATGCACGAAATGGCAAGCGAAGACGACCCACAGGAAAACGAGCGCGTGTTGGCTACGTTAGCAACCCCTTTGTCGACGCGCACAGCACTGTTACGAGCTGGCGAGAGCAGTGGCGGCAATCTGGTCGCAGATGCGCTGCGCAGTGAACTAGTCGCTGATGTGGGGTTCATCAACGGAGGCTTTATCCGTGGCGACACCGAGTACCCAGCCAAGTCCAGCATCACAGTGGGCATTCTGAAGCACGAGATGCCATTCCCGCGGCACGCTGTGTTGGTGCGCATCAAAGCCAGCGACCTGCGCGACGCCTTGATCCAGCACTTGTCCAAGTACCCGCAGCAAAGTGGGTCGCACCCTCACGTCTCGGGACTCGAATTAGTGGTCGACATGCGGTCCGAGCCAGCGGCGCTCGTCACAAAGATGGTCGACGACAGTGGCGAGTCGATAAACATGGAACGGCAGCTCCTCGTGGCTACTTCCAAGTTTGTCGCGGACGGTGGCGACGGCTGCTCGTCGTGGCGCAAGGGTGAGGTCGTGCGCGAGGCGGGCAAACTCCCCGAGGTCGTGGCCGAGTTTATGCTGAAGAAGCGGTTGCTGGCATACCCAGCGCACGAAGGCCGCGTCACGATCCTCGAGTGACTACCGACGAGCCGAATAATGTGCCACGAGGTCCATAGCGATCTGGCTTGGCTAGCGATCAGTCCCGTGGCAGTCGCGTCCCTGTGGCCGGTTTGCAAGCCACTCTACCGATCCACAGGGCAATGGGTGGGCGAGCAGTGCCCGCGAGCTCTCGACACGTGCAATGGATGGAGCAGAGCCTGGCCATGGCGCAGAAGAGACCGACCAATTGCACTCGCCGAGAATGGACAGCTCTCGTGACTGCAGCAATCGATGGGCGCAGCGAGCGCATGTTTACGAGCGTAGCTACTGGTCGTTTGCAACGTCAGTAGGTGCGTGACGACGGCGGTACTGAGACGGTAAAAGACTGGATGTTGCAAACGGGGGGGAGTTTGTAGGCAGTAAAACTGATTGGAACGTCGTCACGCGCTGTTTGCTGTGTCTGCTGTTGTTGGTATTGTTAATGTCGTTGGTCGATGTTGGTAGCAGCCGACATGTACGGTATGTTGCCTCTCGTTCCTGTGCATCGACAGAAAGCCGGTTAACAAAGCGGGTTCGTCAACATATCGCCCTTGCGCGGCCACAGGCTTGATCGGTCCGGATGCATTCACGCGTGCAAAGACAGGCGAGTCTGTTCGCACAGTATAGAAACGACCGTGCGATGGGGCGGTCTTGGCGTTTCTATTTTCGTTATCCTGTCGTTTCGCGCGTTGCACGGCGCTCCCACAGCATCGACCGTCTCTTTGTCGTGCTTTCACCCCACCTTATGCTGCGTGTCGCTACCGGTCTGTCCCCAATGCTGCTCCTGCCACTTGATCGTACCGGTAGTCGTGGCCACGACCATGCGCACTTAACGACCGCCGGACGCGTTGATTGGCAAATAACTACTCCCACCTGCTTGATCGTCTGACTTCCGGCTTCCTAATCACACCGTCGGCCTTCTTCGGTGCACCACGCGATCAGTCAATCGAAGCGCAGCACGTGCACTACCAGTACGCCACTGCACTCGGCTTCAGTTGCTCCAGATAGCGAGTGAACAGACGCAGCCATCTGCTCAGTCGTTGCACTGCTTTTCGCAACGCCCGTGTCGCTCTGTGGCGATCAGTGTCCACGCACGTTCCCCGTTTTCTTTCGTGCGGTACAGAGCGAGAGAGAGAGAGAGAGAGGTCAGACGCCAGTAGTAGTTGTGAGTACCCACTGACGGCTGTGTCTTTTTCGTACCATGTGGTCGCATGGAAAGGATGCGCTGTTGACGCTGTCGGTTGTTGATCGTGTGTGTATTTTGGCAGGGGCCAGTGTCGCAGAAGCATCGACGCTCGAGCTATTGACCGAACCTGTTGGAGCACAGGCGTCGACAGCGAGCTGGAAACATGCGCGCGTGGCTCGTTGCAGCCGCGTTAGGTGTCAGTCTGCCGTCTTTGGTTTGGCGGCACGCTCGAGGTTTGTTTGTTTTTCGAGTGTGCTGCGTTGTGGTTGTCTGCCTGCTTTGCTGGATAGTGGGAACGTCCAGGAACTCATCTGACGTGACGTACTTGTTGGTGCTGCTTTGTTGTGACTTTGGTGCACGGCAGTCACAGCCGAGCCATGTGACGAGATCTGCTACACGACCGAGTTGACAGGGTTTGGACCGGGAGGCGCTGCTGGATGCAGTTGCAGCGGCGCGCGTGCGACGCGGTCGGGACCTGGAGGCTGCAGCTGTGGCCAGTGCTACCATGAGACGAACGGGGCGGTCATTGGCTACGCTATCAGCAGCGACGGCACGTGCTCATATGGCACGGACTGTGGTGACTGCACGCGCTCGCCGGTTACGCCTGATGCTGAGACGAACGCACCGTCTCCAGACTCTGACACTCCCAGTGTGACGACACCACCGACGCCATCAAGGGCGACGCCAACCGAGCCATTGAGCCCTACGCCCGCGCCCATTCCGCCGCCTAGTACTCCGCCTCCTCCTCCTCCTCCTCCTCCTGCTACTGCTGCTACAGAGCCGACGACAGGTACTGGCAAGGGAGACTTGATATTGTTGACGATACGAAGCGGAGAGTATGGTGTAGTGCGGTCGCTCTGACCGCTTGCTTGATGTTTTCTTTGCTGCTGTTGGTATGTGCTGGGATTCGCTCTCTCTACTGCGTTCGCATCGACTTGCGTGGGTTCGTGGCTCTCCTTTTACGGTAATGCTTTGCTAATGTTGGTTTGTGTTTGCTACTGCTCGGGCGCTGGGCTGTGTGTATTAACGCTTTCAGACGCACCTCTAACTGCGCCTCCTGCCCCTGCTCCAGGTGCTTCGTTGAACCCGACACCTGCACCTCCGTTAAACTTGGGAACCTCGTCGGACGCGCGACCGGAACTGCCTTCGGTCTCGCCATTCGACCCGCCGTCGAACTTGCTGCTTGGACTGCCGTCGACCGCATCGTCTGGAACCTCTTTGGACTTGACGTTCGGAACTTCCCCGTCGACCACAGATAAAAACAACACCCCGCCCGCAACAAGCGCATCGAGCAGCTCGGCCTCTGGCTCGCACGACGCTGGCAAGACAGCTGGTAGCTCCGATTCCGCGACATGTAAGTAGCGCATGTTGGTGACGGCGCTGACGAACGGCTTGACTGACGGTTTGCGGGGTGGGACGTTTTGCATGCACAGCCAGCGACAAAAGTATTGAGACGTGGCAGATCGCGCTCATCATTTGCTGTGGTGTGTTGGTCTTCACGGTAGCAGTTGTGTCGGTGCTCTCATGTTACTGCAAAGCACGGAACCGACTGAACGAGAACGAGGACGACCGAGCGGATGCCACCTACTACCAGCAGCAGTACCCGCGCCAGCGCGACGACGGTGTTGGATTAGAAGGCGTGGCCACGCCTGCCATGTTTTCGCAACGACCAGCGAGTTCTTATTGTCACGCACGGTCCGGGAGCTCTGGCAGCTTGACAAACGAAACGAAGCTCATGTACGCTAGTTCCGCCAACAGCGATAGCTCCGATATGCTGGGCACGGGACTCTTGCCCGTTCACAAGCGCACTAGCTCGGGTGGTCCGTTCGGATCAGTCGGTAGCTGTACGACGGACTTTCGACCGAGTGCGAGCAACGTATCAGTCGGACGTCAACTTCGGCCAGAGCAGACCTGCAGCTCAGCACGCCAGGCCGACGTGGAACTATAGCGGTCACGGTTCGTGGTCGAGACTTGCTGGCGTGAAGTTGTCGTGATCACGAGTACAACGCGCGCATGACGTAACACAACCCGGCGAGCAGTGGTAGAGCGGACAGCAGCGGGTACAAAAGCCGCGGTGGCATACTGGAAAGCATGTCGACGACAGCATCGAAAAGAGTCTGATTGAGTCGCTTCCGCCGCCCGTGCATGACTTGGCTCGCAGCGTCTGGAACAGGAGACGATGCCAAGGGACATGTGCTGCATCTCTCTTGCCGTCGTCTCGTACGCCAACCGTTTGCATCTCAAATGAGCAGAGAGCGCGAACCGGTGTTTTGGACGTTGCAACGAGGTTGACAAGAAGTTGTATAAATGTACATGTGGATCTACTGCTACTGCTGCTGCAACGGCTGCTACTGGCGAAGGTGTGCGGATCATTTCATGGAAAGAGCTGTTCTCAAGGGCGTTGTGCGAGGCCGTGTGTCAACCGAAGTGCGAGACGCTCATCGAGGCGTTGCAACACCACTCGAGGGGTCGATCGGTCACTGCTAACGGGACGACCGCCACGCACGTGTGTCCATTCAAAAGTATCTGCAACATCCTGTTTAATCCTTTCCGCTTCTTTGTCGCCATCCAATCGATCGATCGATCGATCGATCGACTGACTCACTGACTCACTAATTGACTGACTGAGTGACTACTGCTGTCGGTTTTGTCGGTATTTCCGTCTGTCGGTCTATCGTCAACTGGTCGTTCGGAGCCCTTTTTGTAAAAGTACACAAAAGTACGCATGACAAGACGCAGTTTTCGGCTGCTCGTCACAATTGATTGACGGACAGCTGGTGCGGGTCAAAGTGTCGCTTAAGTAACCCCACTTCACCGTCTGTCACTTCAGCCAAGCAAAGCGTCAACAGGTCGATCAATCAATCGATCGATCGATCCACGAGTCAGTCCATCATGGGCAGCTCCGGGAAGAAGCGCCGCCGCGCAACGAGCGCCAACAGCGACGACGACGTCCCTACGCAGCGCACGATAGTCGCGACTGACGCATCCGACGTCGACACTGCCGTTCCGTCGCCCCGTGCGCGTCTCCGGTCGCGCGTTGTGGCCCCACCTGGCCGCAACCGCAAGGGCTTTCTGGCCCAATCGCAATTGAGCGAAAAAGACCGACGGCACGTGCGGTACAAGGAGCGCGAGCTCTTGCAGAGCCTCAAGGAGAACGCGAGCGACCTGGCCACGCTGTCGAGCGACACGTTCGACGTGCACACGCAGGAGCTGGACCACATGTACGAGCACGTGTGCTACCCGCGCGAAGCCAATTTGGACGCTAGTAACCTGGACGAGCTCAACGTGGCAGTGACGAAACAGTCGCAAGCGCTGGGTTCGAGTGACTTGACCAAGGTAAGTGAGGCGGGGGTGGTCTAGGACGGCCGTGGGGTTGCTGTGGGGTTGGTTTGCCGTATCGTTTTGGTGGTACTCACTTTTTTCGGACTTGATGTGTTTTCGTGGCGTCCCTTTTTGTGGCAATAACTGGGCTTGCTGCGTGTGTACTGGGGACGGCTGCTGTGCTGTTTGTTTGTTTGTTTGTTTCTTTTGTTTGCTTTTGCTGGATGGCAGTACGAGACGACCGAGCTGATCCGCGCGACGCGCGAGGTGTGTGTGAAAGAGTCGCAGCCTCAAGATTTTGACTGGCATGCGCTGGGAAATGCAGCAGGAGCGTGTTTTCGATCGGTGCCGGAAATCAGTTTCTTGTACGTCGTGTGTTGGCGACGAGAGACTGGTTTGATGCGTTTGTTGGTCCAGACGAGCTGACTTTTGGTTGTTGTGGGGTGGTGGTTGACGTGGTTGTTGTGGTGGTGGTGGGGGGGGTTGTTTGTGGTGGTCGTAGGTTTGGACTAATGGATACGGAAGTGATACGTAAGGAGAGGAAAAAGTCGAGACGAGTGCAAGATGATGTGAATGCTCAAGAAGCACAGCCGACGGAGTATACGAACAAGGTTGGATGACAAGATGGTTGCTACAGGTTTTGGCTACAGCGGCGGTTAACTCTACGACGTGCTGGCGGATTTTCGCACATTGTAGAAGGACCGTAGAGACGCACAGGCGCGACGGTTGGAGGTGCTGCAGTCGACGTTGATTCAGCACGAGAGCCGTCAACCGCTGTTTGACATGGTGATCAATCCAAAGAGCTTTACTCAGGTGCGTCTGGACGTCCACCTCGACCAGCTTTGATTGGCAATCGCGAGCTAAACCATATCTGTTGGCTGTCGCGGTGATGTGTGATTGTATCGCGTTACAGACCGTTGAAAACCTGTTCGACACGTCGTTTCTTGTGCGCAACAACTCTGCTGAGATCGGCGTCGACGAGGACACTGGCCTTCCGTATCTGAGTAAGGGTTTGGATGTGTTCCGATTATTGACTGCTCGGCTTACTGACGCAAGTGGGATCCTGTTTGCAACGACAGGGAATCAGGAAGGAATGGGTGAAGCCAACATACCGGCGTCGACACAGAGTATCATTAGCATCACGCCCGCTCAGTGGCAGCAGCTCGCACAAATGACAGGACGAGATGAACCCATGCTGGGTCACCGGTCATAGCTACGAAGAAGCGTCTTCCAGTTACTGGATCACGCGGCACCAACATGCTTTACTCATCTGTTTGTTGTCAACATGGCTCTTGTGGCTGTTTGCGAATATCGTGCTGTAATCGGTATGCCGAAGATGAGGCGTGTCTGCTTTGCACTCCAACTGCGCACATACTGTGATGCTTGTGTAAGGTGATGCAAAAGGTATGACGGAGGACTGTTCTACCCTGTTTCGAGAAGTACCTGTATCGCTGTCGTCTGTAGAACACGGAGATGGCACCGTTGGCTGGGCTCTGACAACGTGCGGTCGGAGTGTAGTAAGCAGAGAGACCGAATGCGATCGAAGGTGCGAGTCTGCTAGACGTTTGGTGCGGTCGATGCGCTTCGGCGACAGCCAGCATCTCCGCCCTGCTAGGAAGACAAGCTGCAACGGATAGTTCCGTGTCACTCTCGCTGCTGTACGTGGTATTTCGCTTTCACTTGTGCTTCAGTGGTGGCGGCGTCGACAATGGGGACTGCTTGTGTTCGTCTAGAAGGTCGGTAAGGACGATGTGGACGAGAGCAGCGTCCAGATTGCGACACGTCGGTACGATCAGCCTCATCTTGTCGATTGAAACTGCACAGTGACGACCGTCGTTATGACTGATCGTTGTCGTTGATCTCCAACAGCACCTCGATGTCCGTGACGCAGAATGATCGGCGGTGCTTCACTTTTTCAGACAACGTTTCGTCTGCAAATGATGGAGCGGATGTTCATGCATGGTAGACGTCATACCATACCGGTGTGCAGGGTGCACCAGTGGCTCCTTCGCACACACGCCGTTGAGTGAGGCGTGACTGACGTGAATACTAGCGCTCAACGCGACACCGGCGAGAGCGGAGATTTGTCCATGGAGAGTCGATCAGTTGGGGCCGTACGCTTTAGCATACGTCGTGTTGGCACGTTTCCCACCGGACCTCCAAATAACGTTGATGGCGATGGCATGAAAGCAAGCAGTCGGCTGGCTAAGTGTGGTATGTGAATGTAGCCTCTCACGGGTGGTTTGAAGTCGAGCTCGAGACCTCTCCTGAGAATAACAGTCAAGTGAGGGTTGCGGCCGTGGTTCGCTCTTCGCGTTCGCTAACGTGCACTTGGATGGATCTGGATGAAGTTGCCAGCTGTAACGGGTGACCAGCGGGTCAGGGGCAATATCGCGTAGGCACGTTCTGTTCACCCAAATCGAATGTGTGGGCGCGCGCCGGGTCTGGTACTGGCGGCTGTAAAGTTTGTGCGTCTGGTGGCGAGAGGAGCGTGGTGTAGTCTGCGTCTCTTGTAGAAAGCTGGCCAGTACGTCGAAATGATGAGTCGCAAACGCTGCACTGGAAATGATCGTGGATAGGGACATAGCAGTCAGGTTGCTAGCCGTGCAAGATGATTTACGCGAGCCTGCTTGTGCAGAAGTGCTGGCAGAAGTGTCATGGGTTGATCAGAAGCACTGGATGGACCGACAGCAATGTTCCGGTGTGACTGATTCTGATGGAGATCCGGTGTGACTGATTCTGATGGAGATACTACCGTGCCTGATGGCGTATGCACGTGCTACGTAGCGACGCATTGTTTAAATGATGAATGGGTGTGTCCTGATGGAGGTCAGGTCGGACGGATGACTGATGTGGAGATATCGTGTGCCACGGTGCTCAAACAGCTAACGTCGGTCCGACACGGACAAGAGCTCGCATTGCGCGTGAGAAATTACCGAGTTCACCTCGATGTTTATTGGAATTGTGATATATGTATTGCGTTGGACCTAAAAATGTTCCCGCTCACGTGCACATGTTCTGATCCTCCTCTTGCGGAGCGTTCAACTCCCTGCCGTCCCAAGGAGTCTGATCACTGTCGTCTACAGCAGCGCCCGTAGTCATCATCGTCGGTGTTAATGTCGGCGCAATGCCACCGTCTGTGGACGTTTCGATGG